AGCGCACTGGCCCTATAGCAAAAATCTCTTAAAAAAAAAAAAAAAAAAAAAAGGCCAGGCCTGCTGTGGTGTCTTCAGGGATTCAAGCTCTGCTTTTTCCGGTTGCAACACTTTTTCCTTTTTCTCCTTCCTGTCAGGATTTCAGGCATCTATGCACATGCACCCTGAGCATTTTTCAAGCTGCCAGGGCCAGGATTCGAAACACAGTTGACCATGTGGCATTGGCTCTTAACACACAGTGTTTAAGCACTCTCCACGGAGTCTGGTCACGCTGCAGTCCTTTCCTCTAGTCCTCCAGCCTGTTGGAAACACATGCCCAGCACGTTTCTGGCTGATCTGGGTAGGGATTCGAACCATGGTCAGCATGTGGGAATCTGGCTTTTTTCCAGAAACACATTACTGCTGAGCCATGGAGTTGGCCCAAAGTGCTTTAGAAAAGAATTCCTCCATTCTTAGCAGGTAGCCTCCATCCATAGGGTTGCTTCATGGTCCAGAATGGCTGCTGGAATTCCTGCCATCTTGCTGCTTACTGGGCAGGAAGGAAGAGGAAGAATAAGGGCAAAGAGGACACTTGCCAGTTGTCTACCTCCCACTTATAGTTCTTTTCCTGGAGTTCTACCTGACAATGTTTGCTTACAAATTATTGGCTATCTCTAACTGCAAGGAAGTTTGTAAAATATTGTCTTTCAGTTGTGTATATTAGTTCCTGGAATGATACAGGGCTAGTACCAAGGGAGACAGGGAGAATGGATTTTGGGGAGGCAATTAATAGGTCCTGTCACATTAGCTTTAACATAAAAGGGCTTGCTTTAGCTCCCATAAGTAAAAAGCCCAAGGAAAAGTGGGGTGACTTCAGGCAAGGCTACATCCAGGTGCTGAAACCGTGTCACCTCTGTTTTCTGGATAGAGACTTCATTATTACATCCTGAGAGAGGCCCCAGCAGTTCCAGACCCATATCCTTCTAGATTTAAGTCCAGGAGGATTAAGAGTGTTGTTCGACTATTGTGCCAATTCTATTAAAATTTCCAGAACTACGTATGGTGGAGTGGTGGTTCTCCAAAGGGAACAGGGATTCTCCAGAGGGAAGGAAATGGAACCTTGGGAGGCGGGAAGAACAGCTGTCCACTCCAATGCCAGCCAGGCCCTTGCCTTACTGAAGGTGGCCCAAATGGAGCAGGGTCTCCCGTTCTCACCCCTGATCTCTTGATTGCTTTTCCTCAGGGTCTGGACTGGGCTGCTCTGGCTGCCAGGAAGATTCCAGCCCCATTCCGGCCCCAGATCCGCTCAGAGCTGGATGTGGGTAACTTTGCAGAGGAATTTACTCGGCTGGAGCCTGTCTACTCACCTCCAGGCAGCCCCCCACCTGGGGATCCTCGAATCTTTCAGGTGAGTGGGAACTCATGGAGCCCCGGACGCAAAGGCAGCGGGATGTAGCTGTCTCGGCCCTGGCTGACGGGCGGACACTGCACAGGCCCTGTGTCCTGATGCAGACTCAGCCTCTCCCCCGGACCTCCTCGCTTGTAGGGGTACCTGCGTTGTCAGTCAGGGAGACCATCACAGCATGACGTGTCTATGGTTCACAGCTTATCTTTGAGTTTGTGTTAATTTCCCACCTGTTCCACCACCTCCTTATAATGTAAATGTATATATATATATGTATACACACACACACACATACATATATATACATTTAATATTTTTTGCTATGGGTTGCATGTGGTCACCAGAGAGAGTGAGAGAGAGAAATCACTCCCCAGGGGGGATGGCCACACCACAACCCCCTTTCTTCCACTCTTGGGATTTTGGGCACTAACTCATACATGCCCAGCATGGTTTTCAAGTCACCAGGTCCAGGACTCGAATCACAGTCAGCCATCTGGAATCCAGCTGTCTTAACCTCTATACCACTTGCTGGCCCAAAATATTGTGTTAAATAATTCACTTGTTGGGGCCAGCAGGTGGTGTGGTGGTTAAGGTACTGGATTCCTACATAGCCAACTGTGGTTGGAGTCCCAGACCTGGTGGCTTGCTCTTTCACTTTCTCTCTCTCTGGAGAGAACATGTGCTCTATAGCAAATTAAAAAAGAAATAATAATAATAATAAATAAAGTTAGAAAAAAAAAAGATTCACTGGGACCAGCAGTTGGTGTAATGGCTATGTCGCTGGACTCCCATGTAGTCGACCGCGCTTTGAGTCTTGGACCCAGTGGCTTAAACTCACACCGGGTGTGTGTACGTGCCCAAGATCCTGAGAGGAGAATGGAGAAGGGATTGTGGCATGGCCATCCCCCCGGGGAGTGATTTGTCACTTTCTGTCTCTCTGTCTCTCTCTGTCTCTGTCTTTCTGGCGAGCGCATGTGCCCTATAGCAAAACCTCTCTCAAAAAAAAAAAAAAAGAAAAGAAAAGATTCACTTGTTTAAGTGGACACCAAGGAAGAGATGTCACGTTTATATTGTGATTTTGTATGTCCCTTGGCATAGCATGTCACATTCCTGGGGGCACAGGCCCCTTTCACCCAATTTTAGCAGCTCAGGCCTGTGGACCAAGTCCAAACTCCTTTGCTAGGCATTCTAGGCCCTTTATGACCTGGTCTCTGCCAAGTGCCTTAGCCTCAGTGCTCACTAGTCTCCTACTGGATGCTCTAGGGAGTAGCACCAAGCTGCTCTAAGGTCCCAGGACATACCTCTGGCCTTTGCAGATGCTGTTCCCTCTACCTGGAGTGTCCTTCCCACAGCAGTCCACCTGGGAAACTCCCACTCAGCAGTCCAGCCCTGCTGGACACTCACCTGGCCCACTGGGCCGCCCTTCTCTTATGCACCAGCCCTCTGCAGACCGTAGCTCCTCCTGAGCAGTTTATTGTGCTGTATCCTGACTGATAAACTGAGGCTGCGTTCTCAGGTCTAGACGCACCAAAGAGCAGGGCTATGTATTTAATTCCTGTTTCCCTGGGCTCAGCATGGGGGCCTGGCTTATAGGACATGGCCCATAAATATTAAATAAGAATAGACCAATATCTAGTATGGATGCAGCAGTCCTCTCGCTGAGGCTCTTAGAATGGACAATTCTTGCTTGAACAGCCCTTGCTTCGTTGTCTCACAGTAAGGAGAAAATCCTTTTTTTTTTTTTTTTGTAAATCAGTGGTTACTTTCATTCATTCATTTAATGATTCAAAAATATATACTGAGCACCTATGGTGTGCCAAGCATTTCCAGGGGGCGTCACGTGAGGAGAAAGCTGGAGTCACAGACCTGGCCCAACTGATCATAAAACAAGTGGAATAAGCTGTGTCCACACATCCTGTGTGTGCTAGGACGCACCGGAACTTCCGTGTGGCCCCACACCCAGGCCCACTGATCACCCGGGGATACCTCACTTGCGCCCCCAGCCCCTGAGCTCATCAGCCCCACCCCCCACCCCACAGGGCTACTCCTTCGTGGCGCCATCCATCCTGTTTGACCACAACAACGCTGTGATGACTGATGTGCTGGGAGCCCCGGGTGCAGGAGACCGCCCAGGCAGGGCAGCAGTGGCCAGGAGCGCCATGATGCAGGTGGGCTGGGCAGGTGTGGGGGGAAATGGATTTGGGGGGATTTGGAGCAGGTGGGTGTGGGGGGATGCTCTGGACCTGGACTCACCAGGGGCGCACAGTGTGACCTCAGTGAGATCTTGAGCCACTCGGACTTGGCACTTGGCATGGCTACGGGTTCCAGAGCTGGACCCCTGACACGTCCCCTTTGCCACCAGGACTCGCCCTTCTTCCAGCAATACGAGCTGGACCTGCGGGAACCGGCGCTGGGCCAGGGCAGCTTCTCCGTGTGTCGCCGCTGTCGTCAGCGCCAGAGCGGCCAGGAGTTCGCAGTCAAGATCCTCAGTCGCAGGTGGGAAGGCCTGGGAAGGACCCTTGCATAGCAATGTCTACACCAGGTGGGAGGTGGCCACTCTAACCTGGCCTGCCCTGCCCCCTAGGCTGGAAGCAAACACACAGCGTGAAGTGGCCGCCCTGCGGCTGTGCCAGACGCACCCAAACGTGGTGAAACTGCATGAGGTGCACAATGACCAGGTGACGCCTCCCAGGCTTGGGCGCCACCAGGGACCCAAGGGACGGTGGTGGAGGTGGGAGCCCGGAAAGAAGTGCGCCAGGAGACTGGGCCCTGGTTGGATACAAGGGAGGAAAGGTCACTGGGTAGCCCAGGAGGTGGCTTTAACAGGAGTGCGGCCTGAGTACCAGAAGGAGCTGAGGATGTCCAAGGAATCGGAAAGAGT